GTAATAGTCTTTTATTTTATACTATATTATACAACAATATATTATATAAAATGGTTCAATAGAATTTTTTATTATATATTACATAATTTTTTAATATGTTATATAATATAATAATTTGTTCTTTTAAAAAAAAATTAATTTATTTGATTGTTCATTATTTTAGATTTTTTTTTAAAAAAATTTATTTTATTATATTATATAATATATTATAAAGGAGAATGATTTCATGCAACGGTGATATAATAGTATAATACAACTATCTTCAAAAACCATATTAGAGACATTTGTTTGGCGCAAATTTTTAAATGTACACTCTTTTCATTCTAAAGAACAATCCCAAAAAAGAAAATTTTGAAAAAACACCCGATAAAATGTTTTTCTAGCCCAATTAATATAAGCCATCCATTTTAGTGAGATGGTTAGATAAAAGCTTCAAATGGATTTGTTATTATCAAAATTTTTATATGGCCTTATCATCATTAGATTAACAATGCTAAAAAAGAAAAAAAATGATTTTGAATATCTCAAGGCCTAGATCTTGAAATTCACCAAATAGACGATCAAAATTCTTAGTTGGAAGGTACTAATTTTGCCAAAAACATGGTTTTCTAGAAGAGCTGAAGTTGCATTATACTACTATACTACCATTGTATGAAATCATTCCCCTAATATAGGATTATATTATAATATAAATATACTATAATATATATGATGCAATATAATATATGAACAATACAAAATATATAAGGTCTTCACATGGGCTTCACGAGGGCCTATTAATCCTTTTGATTTAATCTAATATATTTTAATGTAATATATGTTAGAAAATTGCTTACCACCAAAATTTTGGAGTTTTCGGCGGTAGAGGTGGCGTCTCCATGGACACTAAGGTAGACCTTGGGTGTGTATTATGTATGCATTTAGTCCCTCACATTATATATTTATAAAACAAATGTTTTATAAATACACACAAGAAAGTAAATATTTATGTAAGATCATATACACAATATGTAGTAATGGGAACACAAATTTACTCATATCATGAGTAACAAACAAACAGCTGAACCTCATCAGAGCTACAAAGAGATATGTCTATGGTCCGACAAATATAAACTGTGAGCTTGTTACCTCAAATAGGAGTTTTTTTTCTCACAATATCTTAAATTTTACAATGAATTATATAACCTATTTTATTAAAGTAGGTAAATCTTACTCTTTAGGAAGAATTTAAATATAATAGATCATATACACAATGTGTGCCAACGGGAACACATTAGGAATGGAGCGACACCAGCCTTAGAACGACCAATGCCCCAACCATCTACCGGGTTCACATGCAAGTGAGGCCCCGAGCACCTACCGGGTTCACATGCAAGTGAGGCCCCAAAATTCACATGAAAATCTGTTTTTTTGTGGGTGTGAAGTTGATCGCTAGATTCGAGAGGTGACATTCCCAAAATTCACATGAAAAATTGTTTTTCTGAGGTCGGGCCCTAGGCTGACCGGATCGGGTCTACCTGTGTCGGGTCTAGGTCCATTGCGACCCCTAAGTAAAGTAGGGGGTGAAAATCATGGACCACCCCTTCCTCATGTAAAAGATTAGCAAAACGCATTGTAAGATCCCCTAGGACAGACAGACTAAATCCAATTATCCCTACAAAACAAGAAAAAAAACAGAGAACCAAACCTTCGTACCACAGGACTCCCTCTCCCATTAGTCACAAAAGCAGCAGGATGAGAGGTCCAAAATAAACCACATCATGTAGCTTGGCTTGGGCACGGCCTAAATTGAGGGACCAAAAACTGGATTAGGTCGGGCTGGGGCGGGGCCAGGCCAGCCCCCTGTTTGTTTAAATGTAAATTGACGTCAGTGTACAAAACCCCGGATAAAATAAGGCAATAAAAAAAAGACAGTATTTGAACCGTAGATGCGAGGCATACATAATAGCCAATAAGTCAATTAGACAATGTTTGAATAAAAAAACTCACTCGGCCTTTGCCCACAAGCCGAGGGAGGCTAAGCAACTCCACCGAGTCCGAGTCTCATCCCGAAACAGCAATTCATATAATGTAAGCTGTATAAATGTTTAGGCCGGCTCGCATGCTTTGCTTAGCCTGAGCCCCGCCGGTAATCCTCAACATGTAGCCCGAACCTGTCCTGCCTCAAAAGCTTGCCGGCCAGCACAGCCCTAATCTAATCATGAGTCCCTCTCTCTCTCTCTCTCTCTCTCTAACTTCATAAGGAAGATCTAACCAAACTCTATCTCTAAATTCATGAGGAATATCTAACAAAACTCTCTCTCTAAATTCATGAAGAACATCTAACAAAACTCGCTCTCTCTCTCTAAATTCATAAGGAACATCTAACACGACTCTCTCTCTCGGTCAAGATAGGTGAGTAACATAAAATGAATTCTATGGTACAAAAAGAGACAAGGCAAAAAAATAAAAAAATAAAAATGTAAGTGTTCAATGTTTTACAAGTAAATTATGAAGTCTGACAAAGTTCTCTAATGTAAGCTCCCCCGGTCGTGACTGCATCAAACGTCATAAAACATACATCGTCAAATATCCAGAATTAACAAGCAAACAAATGGGTAGTAATTTACAAAAGGGAAAGTATAGAACGAGATCATTTACCTTTACTACAAGGTCCGTTAGATGTTATTTATGGGAATGTATATGGTAAAACTAATAACTAATTATTTTCAATAAAGAAGAAGAAGAAAATATTACAATTATCTGTAGCCATCATCTACCGAGCCTTATCCTAACAATTTAGGTTCGGCTGCATGACTCTTGTCGTGCCTGCCATTACACTCTACCGAGGGCCATACCTTCAATCCAATGATTAACATAACCTTTTTTGGTTTTTGTTCGCTCTTATTTCATCTCGCTAACATATGACTTTTCATAAATCGAGATTGGGATATAATATAAAAAATATTTTTAATGAGAGATGGACATGATCTTTTTTTTTACTTTTTACAACATCATTATTTTTAGGGTGTGGTTTGTATAGAGCTGAGGCTCTAAATAATTAAAGTAAAACACACCTTCAAATAGTATCAAGAAATGTGGTTTCAATATTGAAAATCTTTGTGATAGCCTTAAAATATATTTTCATCTTTAATTATAAAATCTATAGCTTCAAAAATAGTTTAGATCGAGCAGATCTGTGAAAACTTGAAAATTGACGGTCCAAAAATGCGTTACAAGATGCATTATTTCCAAAACTTGAAATCCATTGTTTACTCATGTCCATGCATCTTGATGTCGAGATGATCAATTTGAGGATACTTGGGCATCAAAACAACATCTTCTAGTGAAAATTTTGAGGTAGGCTTTAATTTGATTATTTAGAGCCTCAGTTCTATATAAACTTTTTCCTTATTTTTATATATGACAAGACAAAGAGACTTTTAAGTGAAGATATTTCTGGGATGAGAATCTAGAGAGATAGAAAGGGAGAGAGACAATGAAATTTCGAGGTAAAAATAGAGTGTTGAGAAAAATTAAGTCATACTCCAATTAATTCTCATATGTTTTGCTCGATTATCTGGCCGAGAAAATATATACACAAATTAATTCCTTTTAATTAAATGAATAAATAATATATTATTTTTACTGTGTTATTTAAGCTAAGATTACATTACTTATATTCTGAATATTTTCATATTTTTCGATATTATTTACCCATTTTATGGAGATAGTTATCTAGCCTTTTTTTTTGGAATTTTTGTTCTAATAGTGATTCATATTTTTACTTAAATTAGAGCTCATACAATTCTTATTTTATAGGGGATTCCTATTAAGGAGAGTGATTTCGATCGTTTCCATTGTAACTTAAATGAAGCTATGAAGTTCCACTTTGATAAATATTTTTTATTTATTTCAGTGAGGAGAGGTATTTTAGGAAATTTTGACGGAAAAAGAATAATAAAAAGAGGTCAAAAGTTCCCACCCCTAACTTTTCTCCCTTATAAATACAGATATAGGAGCATGGATTTTGAATTCATCTCTAAATTCCTTTTTGGATTTCCTAGATTATATGTAAACTTCATTATCAATCCTTTTTTTTTTTTTGACAAAAACTTCATTATCAATCCTTATCTCTGAGCATTTGCAATAAATCTAGATCTGTCTTTAACTCTAGTTAATTCCTAAATTTACTCTCTCAAAAGTGCAGGCAAATTAGAATTTTCATCTCACATATTTACCAAAATGTCAAGTCTTTAAGTGTAATTTACCAATAATTATATTAAAACAAATAATAATCGTAAATCAAAACATCAAAACATTTTGTTACAAAAATTGTACTAAATAGAAATCTCTTTAAGACAAGAAAAATGTAATTACTTTATCATAGCATAAATTCATTAAAATAAAATGAAAAATCTACAAACTGAAATTTAAAATAAGGAATTTTTTCCCCAAAAATTTGAAATCTCTTATTTATATGTAAAACAAAAATTTCACATTGAAAAATGCTCCTAAGTAGGTCTTCTACCTGAGAGAATAAATGTACAAGTGTGTGTGCGTGCGTGATTTCCTGCAACAATTGTATAGTAACATAATGAAACAATCTTCAAAAACATGTTATGGCCATTTTGTTGACCCCAATTTTAAAATATATATCCATTTTATTCTAATGAAGAATCAAAAAGGAAAAATTTAAAAACACAACCTAGAAAGCGTTGTTTCAGCCCAATTAATATAAGTTCTCCATTATAGTGAGGTGCTTAAATCTAGGCTTTAGAAGGACCTATGTCCTTTCTAATTTTTTTAGATAGCTCTCTTGTCATTAGATTAACAATGTTAAAAAAAAAAAATTAATTTCTAATTCATAAGGCCTAAATCTTGAAGTTCATCAAATAGATGGTCTAGAACTATTGTTGGAGGGGACTCCTTTGAATCATATTTAGGTACAAATTGATTTTTTTTTTTTTTTGAGATTTATTATTAGGATGAATAGAGTATATATGCCAAATTTGAAGTCATACAAATGCCACAAACATGGTTATCTAAGAGTGTGGTTTCATTATACTACAATGACACGCTGACATGAAATTATTCCCCATGTATTACAAGTCTTAAAAAAGCTATAGGGCAAAATCGAATAGTGTTTTGCCCCGGTTTGCGGTTTTCCATGTTTTTGCGTGAAAAATCGACCGCACCGGTACTGTAGTAGCCATGGCATGTCCACGCTGTCCGAAAAAATTGAACAGCACAGAGTCTATGGATAAAAATACTGTTCATTTTCGCCCATAAACGTTGTGTAGTGGCATTATAGGAGCGTAGTTCACTTACAGTGGTGGGGAGACCCATGTTACTGAGCGCTTCTTCGATGGCATCAGATGCATAAAAGTGTTGAAGAGACCTTCGAAGCATTTTACGTTTCCCATTAAAGGCAGAATTCACCTGGATTAGCCAACCAGAAAAAACTTCAACAGCTTAAGTAATACAAGGTTTTCAATGGCAAAGACAGCCCCTCAAACCAGAGTAATTTGCACCAAAACATGGGGTATTTTTGCCCAAATAACTTCATTATAGGAATGAGTTCAAAGGCTAGGTGATGAGGTTGCACCAAAACATGGGGTATTTTTGCCCAAATAACTTCATTATAGGAATGAGTCCAAAGGCTAGGTGGTGAGGTGCCACATGATGTCTGGAGTTCCATTCTTAACATGGATAGGGACCCTTTCCTTGCTGAACTACTAAAAAAAAAAATCATTATACTTTAGGAGTGTACTAATAAGAATTTTGCTTTCTTTTCCACCATTTCTTGAAAATTTTCCTTGATTATGTAAAAGGAGACAAACCTTTTGTTACAACTGACAATTCTGCCCATTCCGAACCCAAAGGTTAAAAGCAACACTAGAATAATTCATGAACTTTCTAACATCATTTAAGCATTAATTGATCTCCTTCAATTTTTTCCTTCTTCTCTTTTTTCTTTTTATACAGTTTTATGGATTTCTTTGGAGCAAATTTAGAAAGAAAACTTTTGAAAGCATGCAAACTAAACTCCATAGGAATTTCTGCAACCTGCTGAGACTCTAGGACATAAATGATACAAAGAAAGTAATGATGTCCAAATCATTTCCAGGGCTTTGGAAAATTAGGGATTGAAGCATAGATAGTAACCATTGAGAAGAAAGTCTTTGGCGAAGAAATTTCGGGGTAATCTGCCGGTTGCTTCAGTTTGAATGAAACCACAGCTCCATCCACCTGCAAGAGAATCGAGGACAATCCCTTTCTTAATTACACAAGGTTAACCACACATTATGGCAAACAACAAATGTAGGAAACAAAAAATTTCAATAGATGCCAAGAACATCAAGAATTTCAAAACAATAAAGAAAAGATAACTTTCTTTTTAAATGAAAATAATTCAGAAATGTTAGTTTCGTTTTAAATAAAAATAATTCAGAAATTTTACTTTCCTTTTCTTTTGTCTCAAGCATGGTAGTAAACAAATAATATACAGTGGAATCTGGTGAGCATATCTCATGCACAGGGGCAAGCAGGAGATTAACCCATCCAAATTTGACTTTGGAGTCCAGATTTAACATCCATTCAAATGTAACTAGATGCTAACTTAATAGGAACATGGTCACTAAGAAGTTTCATACACTGAAGTGGGATAGGCAAATGTCTCATGCACCGGAACATGCACAAGAAGAAATACTTACATTTGGTTGAGGAAAGAAATTTGTCCTTGGCACTTTAAACTTGTATTCTGCATCTACAAGAACAGCCAATACAAATAATCATCAGGAAGACTTCAATACTCATTTGGATGATTGTAATCAACCTTTCAAATCAATATAAATCACACTTTTAATTTAGAAGAAATATAGATAACATTTCGTAGTGGAGGGAGTACATGCCATGACCATCCCTTCATGCACTCTAACGATGCAATCATGAACAACCCGTAACAGCCATTAAATTGCCAATAGTCACAGGGAAGGCTGGAGCTAAACCATATAGCTTCATAACTGGAAAACTTAACTTGTTCAAAAGATAGCAAGTACCAAATTATATGGACAACTGGAAAACTATAGTCCATTGAGACATCACTGCCCACTAAATTAATTGATGGTGATAGAGCACAAGGGACCCATCACTGCGCTCTGTCCTGAGCTACAAGGTCCCAACTGCCATCCATTCCAATGGACTATGAATTTCCATTTTCTATACAGTATATAGCATTCTCTACCCTCCTAAAATGTTCAGATTATATGTTTGTTCAGTAGGACAGGAACAATTTTATTTTTTTTGGTTTTGGGGGGGGGGTTAAGTTGTAGGAAAGGAATATCAGTTGGTCAATGAACATCAACACATAAAACCCATACTTAAACACTGTAAACTGCATACCTGAGTAAAAGTTCACAAAAATATTGATAGGTCTATATTCAGAAGTTCCTAGAGAAGCATCAACCAAACGCAAAGCTGTTTCATCCTGTAACCATTACACCACTTTAACGTATTAAGTAACATATTTTACAACCTTCTTCTTTCTTTCTTTTTTTGAAAAAGTATACCAGAATCTGATGGATTATGGAAAACAATGGACAGTGATGGAGAGAGATGGGACCCACCATTGAGGCCATCTCTTGTTCTGATGAGTCCCACCATCTAGATTACTACCCACCACTTCATTGAATGGTGATGATGCCAATAGACTATGGTTTTCCAAGATCATTGCAATATAGCATGATTTCTTTCCTTTTAAACAGTTACAATTGACCAGCAGAAACAGATCACCAATGAAAGCACTCCACACAGAAAAGGGGAACAGAATATTAAAGTTACAAAATGACTGATAGTCTTGCATGAACTACAAACTGAAATGATTGTAAAATAGAGTTTTCCATAAAGGTGTAGTATAATACATGTATAGATCACCTAGTCCAAATCAAAACACTAGAAGCTAGGTATGTGGCAATTCCCCAACCAAAATAAGGAAAAAAGAGAAAAAAAAAAAATAGCATCAATTAAATATATATAAGTAGGATCCATACAATATTGTCCATATAGCCATGATAATGAGATGACCGTGAGGTTCTTGCCATCCCATTAATGGGTTGGATAATGCCAGAGGGAGTGGATCCCACCAAAAAATGTATTAATTCATCTGCATATTCCACTGTCCTCAATCAGCACCCCACCAATTTAATTAGACGATGATAATCCACATGGTCATTTTGTTATCATCACTGAATGGTTCGTACTTTAACTTTCCATATAAGAAAGTAAAATTTAACAGAAATGATCAGTTCCAAAACTAAGGATCAGTTAAAATTTAGAGTGCACCACCAATTTAATTAGGCGATGATAATCCACGTGGTCATTTTGTTATCATCACTGAATGGTTCGTACTATATCTTTCCATATAAGAAAGTAAAATTTAACAGAAATGATCCGTTCCAAAACTAAGGATCAGTTAAAATTTAGAGTGCAGATAGCATGCTTCTCCCGGAGCATCACTGTAAACTTACTCCCTCATGCAAAAGAGCTGCTCAGGAGAATTTTTTCTACCTGAAATTTTGGCATACACCTAAGAATCAGTAGATGATCATGTTCAACAAAAAAAAAGAACGTTGCAATCTTAACACTTGGATCTGACCATCCAAAAATGGGTTGGTTTCTATTCAATCTTAAGACATTATTTTCTTCAGGCAGATATAGAGTACTCTTCCTCTTTTTCCTGTTTTTTTTGTTTTTTGGGTGGATGGTCGTTAGGTTTAAGAGGTATTTGGGGGCCTTAAAGAATTCCTAGATTGGGTTTTACCTCAAGGAGAACAGAGGAAATGCTCCTGCGGGACCCTAGAATTTTTTGTCTAAAATTTGTTTTGACAGTTGACACCACGACTATTTACCACACGGACGAAAAAGCCATAGTAAATAACTAAATGTGTACCACCAGCTATTCCTGAAATTCAACATTAAACTAAATCAAAAAAGAGATATCATATACACTAGTCCCTAGAAAATGGTCATAGTTTACACACAAATTTAGTCATTGGTATCATCTAGAGATCATCAGTGTAAGCAGTGTAGGAACAAACAGAAAGGCTGATCAGAAACTGAATGACCACAGAATTTATGTACCTATTTATAAATACCTTATTTTGATAGATATCATTGAACTAACAATTATGGTTCTATAAATGAACCATCACATGAGGATCAGATGTAAAGCAGAGTCTGAAGACCAAGGAATCAAACCTGCACTAGAAGGACAACTTGCGAAAGGATGTCTCCCATGGGAAGAAGTTGCTTCACGACATCAGTTGTTATGTTGAAAGGAATATTAGCGACTACCTGGGAGGAGACACGGTTACACTTATTTCAGCCGCAAAATCCCTATCAGAAAAGATTTATAAAAAAATACAGCTATGTGCGTATAAGAATTTCTTCTTTCTTTTCTTGTTTGTCATCATAAACATGTATCAACCTACATAATCCAAACCCTAAATATAAACAATATTAGTAGCAACATCTTGTTTCTAACCAAATCCAATATATTGAGATGTAACAATAGGCATTAAAGCATCTACAATGGAAAATAGAATGCACTTTTAAATTCAATATTCATGTGAGAAGGCAAGAAAATCTTGGATCAATGTAGAAGCATGAATGCAAGAAAATCTTCGATCAATGTAGAAGAATGAAATGTATAAGCAAGAAATGGACAAAATATTTCCTAGCGAAACTAGTTGACATAGGATGAATGGAGCAAGTATAGTTATATTTACGCAAAAAAAATGGATGGATGATGCATAAACAATCTATGCTTTGTGCAACGACAATCAGTAAGAAGTAGATTGTCGAATGCAGAACATGTTTATTCAACTAAATTGATGGAGAGAATAATGTAACAAAGATCCCACTTTTGTAGAGTTTGGGCGATTTCCAGTGGATCCATCACATCCCAATAAAGAGCTTAAATGAAGACGTATGTGACAGCGGGTGAAATCCTCTTGCAGAACCTACACAAAAGCAATAATATCATGCTAAGCAACGACACAGGTGAAACATCCAATCCACTTTTTAATCAACATATTTTAACCAATAACTCCCAGAATGTAATAGGATATTACTAAATCCAGTTTCATCCAATCAACTTTTAAATCAACATATCTTAACCAATAACCCCCAGCATGTATTATGGTATTACTAAATCCAGTTTCTATCTACAAGCGCATAATTAAGTTCAATTTTTTCTTTTTTTATTGGATGATGGTCTCATGAAAATAAACCATTTTGCACTCCAAGCTTGTAAAAAGAAATAAAAATCATGACGTCCTTGGAAACTCTAGCTTGAAAGAGACATTTAAGTTCAAGGTAAGGGCATCTATCAAGATAATTTTGCAATTAAAATATTGAAAGAACTGATTTAGAATATAAAGCAAAATAATGCTTGTTTATCAAGAGACTTCTTTTGAGGTAGCACACATATATGGATACATACATAAAAAGGTGTACAAATATACCATGGTTATAAGGCAGAACATCCTTAATTATATGATAGCATGTGGTGACTCTTCTTGTCTTATGTTGTAGACCAAGAATGATTATATCTCCCCTTAATCCATGTGGCAAAAACAAGGCCCTTGATTTTTTACAAGGTCAATGCATTAAAAGTTGGCATACACTCTAACAATTATATCCTTCAGCTCCACGATATGGAGAGTTCACAGAACAAACAAAACATTTTTTGAGATGCAAAAATAAGTACATTTGCATGGTTCCAATATGCAAGCCAATTTTGACAAACAGAACTCTACAACATAATTGAGAAACCACCTAAGCATAAAAACAACTCATCATCAAGAAAGAGACAGGAGATGGAGTATAAACTATAAAGTACCTTGACTTTACCTGTGTCTCCAAATCGATCACCAATATGCATAGCCATATGTGGATCCTGTATGCAATACATAAATGTTAATAGAATCATACAAGTTTTACCGTTGAAAAGCTCAAGTAAAGGCCTCAAATACTAGAAACCAAAATAACTTTCTTATTTTGTACAGCTCTAATACAAGTAATATATTCTTATTTTTTAGTCTTCCTAATGGATAGAAATCTCTATCAATTCATGAGGAACATATACGGGAAAAAACAAACCTTCTCAATTGCAACAACCATGGCACCTGAATTTACCAAAGCATTCGTTAGTGATCCTGTACCAGGCCCAATCTCCAATACTACATCCCCCTCCTTAACTTCAGCTGCTTTTACAAGTTGCTCATTTATGGAATGATTCAACATGTAATGCTGCGATGACCCAAAAGTGCTTTCAAAATTTTATAGGGAAAAAACATAAAACCCATCCAACTACTGAATGCATTAAGTGAAACTAAATATTTCCATGATTTCAATTAGTGCAACATTTGCAGCACGAGATGCTTCCAAGTAATTAAACCTTGAACAGCAACATGGAAAGAAAAGAAAAGAAAGGGCATAAGCAATCAAAAAATGAAACAAAAAGGCAATTATTTTCCTACCCAAACTGTACTATGCAAAATATATTTCTTAAACCCACTAATAAGCAAATTAGATGCTTATGTGCCACCTTATCACCAGAGGGAGCATTTATTTTCAGGATTATTTTTTATTATTAAGCGATCCAGTAAATTCAAAAGAATTAAAATAAGAAAACCCAAAAAGAAAAAAAAATGTCCAGGGAAAAATCACAGAAAATAAAGATGGCCCCAAATTTAGAGAAAACTGAATTGAAATACACAGGAATACCCAATATACATCATTACCAAGGATCCCAAATGTGGGTTTTAATCTACACAACGAACAAAAAATTAATCAATGAGAAATATTTAAGATAGCATAAAACATAAGCTGAACTCCACAAAAAATACCCAATAGACACATCATCACAAAGGAACCAAGATGTGGGTTTTAATCTACATAATTAAAACCAATTATCAATGAAAAATATTAAAAAAAAAAAAACAACACACACACACACACACACAAAAATTTAACTTGAATTCCACAAGAATACCCAAACCCAATAGACATATCATCCAAATGAACCAAAATGTCAGTTCTAATCTACATAACTAATTCAGAGTAAACCAATGAAAGATATTTTAAAAAAGACAAATTATAAGTTGAATTTCCAATTTACCTGCCCTAGAGATTTTCTCGGGGTGCGTCCCCTCGACTGAAGAGCTTTGAGAGTGGCATGGTAGTCATCTTCCCTCCTTGCATTCACTGTGCAGAGCTTCTCGCACCTCCTCACTCTGCAAGGAGAAAAAATAGCCGTCCATCTAGATGAAACTGACGGTGGAGATTGCAGAAGGGCCGCCATTGTTGTTGCCCATCCAAAGTTGCAGAACAGAGAAGAATGGCGACTAAGTTCAGTGGCTTTGTTGGGATAAGCGGAGGGATCACTTCCTATAATAATAATAATAAAACAAAATAAAAATAGTGACCAAATTTAACCAAACATTTTCTAAAATGTCTCACGGATCTAACCCCTAAATATGTTAAATAGAATGTCATTTACTTAGAGACACGGGTAATTCCATGCAACAAAAAGTGGAGAAGAGAACTGTGCTGGGAGATCTCTCGAGGCTAAATTGTACAAATGGGCTAGCAATCTTGGGAACCAATAGATTGAAATCATGGAAGATTTCTCATCGTGGAATGGTCCTTCAAATGCAAAATTCACATTCAATTTTGAGGGTAATTGATTTGGAGCCTTTTTCCTTTTAGCTGCAAGATAACTCTTTGAAATGGATCATAGGGGTGAGTGAACTAGTTCCTGAATATTTATAAACAAATTTATCAAACTTTCTGAATTTTTACAAACAAATTTATCAAACTTCCTACTAGAGATACACCATTTAACGTTTTACGCATTTGTAAATATTCCAACAGATAGTCATGTATGTTTGGTATTTTGAAATCAAATCAAACTATATGCGTATAATGTTAAATAGTTCATGCCATATATATTTTGATAAATTTACCTTGTGCAAAAAAAATTTATTGCTTTGTGTTAAGGTGTCAAACCATGTTGGCAACAACTAGGGGAAATATCTTCGTACTCTCTATTTTTTGTTTTCATATCTCAATTGATCAAAATATATCTCCTAATCCCCGGACTAACTTTACCCAATTTTAATTATTTTTTTAGCCCCAATAAATATAAAAGAGACATGCTCGTTCTAAACCCTTCATTTCTTTATGTGATATATTCCTCCCAAATTTCTCTCTCTAACAGGGAAAGAGAGTGAGAGACACAGGAGGAGAGAGTGGAAAAATAGGTATAAAGAGATTTAAGGGAAAATTACATGAAGAGAGAGAAAGGATGGTGTAGAGAAAGAATATGTCTTTCTTATATTTATTTGGGGCAAAAAAATAGATTTAAAGGGGATAAAGTTAGCTTAGAGTTAAAAGATATAAAACTTAAAATTTTTTTGAACCAAGATATATTTTGAAACATTGGATCTATTGAGATATAAAATTTAAAATAGGGGATATGAAAATATTTTCCCTAGATTAAATCCCCTTCCTTAACTTTAAAGAATATCTAGTGAAAAAATGTATATAATAGGAAATAGTTCATTTCTCATAGGCATTTTGATAAGTTTTTTTTTTTTGCGATAATCCCCTAGTGTATAATATAACTTAATCTGTCAAATTTCACATTTGACAACTATATATGCATTTGACCTCGTAGCAAAGCTTATTATATAGCATACAATCCCTTTTAATAGACTTTCAAAATTTTATTTAGCTTGGGCGTTATCTCTCGATATCTCATTGGTGCATACTCGTGAGAAAAGCTAACTCAAAGATTGGCCAAAACCATTATGAGGCAGTATTTTTTAAAAAAAGGTACACAATAAGGCTATGTACTACAAGGTGGTCACAATTAATTTTAACTATTGGATGCAAAATCAGGTGGTTGCGTTTATTCTAGGGAAAATTACAAAATACAACTTAAAATGAACTATCTATACAACTTACCCCACCCCAATTTTTCTCACACGTTTTCCCCCAAACAACTCTTCCTCGCAAAAACCCCCCCAAGGTAAAAAGTTCTTAATTTTTGGATGGAAATGCCCTTCTCATACAAACCAAATCAATTCGCGATCCCAAATATAGTGTCGGAGCACAGTATACTACTGCCAGAGTGGAATGTTAAGAAGCACTGTCGGAGCGCGGTGCTACATTACCAGAGCGCAGTATACTACTGCCGGTGTGGAATGTCAAGAAGCACTGCCGGAGCGCGGGGCTACATTGCCGGAGCGCAGTATACTTTTGCCGGAGTAGAATGTCAAAAAGCACTGCCGCAGCGCGGTGCTACATTGCCGGAGTGTGTATTTTCAGTGCCGGAGCGCATTTTCATATTGCCGGAGGGTGCAGTATCAATGTCGGAGCATAGTTCTCAGTATGCCGGAGCAATGCGGGTTAGACAAAGCACTACCAGAGCGCACATTGTGACTGCTAGAGCGCAGTCCTCCATTGCCAGAGCCGAAGGCCGTGTGAAAAGAAACAGGAGAGAGAAGGCCGTGTGAAAAGAAACGAGGGTATTTTAATCTTACTTTATGTTACTTTTGGGTTGGGGGGGTTTTGCGAGGAAATGTTCTTTAGGGGACAAAGTATGAAAAAAAATTGGAGTGAGGGTAAGTTGCGTAGAAAGTCCATTTTAGAGTATATTTTATAATTTTCCCTTTATTTTATTAACCAAGCTAAAAAAGGTCTCATTGTTGCAAAGGTCACAAACACCATATGTTGTCCGATGTGTATTAGGATTATGAGATGAATCAGTTTTTTGCGGGTGTGGTTAGCATAAGGTTGAGGCCCTAAACAATTAAAGGTCCCAAACACCATATGTTGTCCATATATCTTGAGGTCAAGATGATCGATTTATCTTGAGGTGTGGCTTAGTTGGATCGTTTGGGCCTCAACCTTATATAAACTTTTTCCTTATCCTACCTAAAGTTTGCACCAAACTTCAAACTCAGTCAACATGACATTCCTAATCAGGGGTGGCAACTGGTCAACTTGAGTTCGGGTCCAACCAAACGCAAACCTGAACCCAGAAATACATCATGGGACCTGGACCGAAACCTAGATCCAACCAAATCCAGAGTTTCTAGACCCAACTTGTTTATAAGGGACCCGGATCATATGAGACTAGAATCCTTGGACCCAACCCTATATATTTAAATATTTTCATAAATATGTTAAATAAATAGAGGAAAAAAATTCTATAGAGCCGAGGCTCAATCAAATTAAAGCCCACCTCAAAAATTTCATTAGAAGATGTTGTTTTGATGTCCAAACATCTTCAAATTGATCTTCTTGACATCAAGATGCATGGACATGAGAAAAAAATGGATCTCAAGTTTTGAAAATAGTGCATCTTGTAACGCATTTTTGAACCATCAATTTTCAAGAATTTCAAGTTTTCATAAATCTGCTCGATCTAAACTATTTTTGAAGTTTTAAATTTTATAATTAAAGATGAAAATATATTCTAAGGCTATCACAAAGATTTCAAGTATTGAAACCACATTCGTCGATACTATTTGAAGGTGTGTTTTACTTTTATCGTTTAGAGCAACCGCACCCTTATTTAAATACTTTAATTATAGATGTATGTTTAAAATAAATTGACAGGTGTCCCCATGTATATCAAGAGTATCAAAGTGTAAAAAAAAGTTGAGTACATTAAATATATACTCTTACACTTGTAGGAGTAGCCTAACATAACCATGACTAAAGTTTACTCACAAAACACAATATTTTCTTTGCGTTCTTTTAGGGGTGTAGCTTGCATAAGGTTGCAACCTTATACAATCCATTTAAAGGGCACCTCTAAATTTTATCATAAATATAATTTCGACATTAAAAAATTTTAGAATAGCTTGAGAATCTATTTTTATCTCCAATATAAAATTTTAAACTCTAAAGATGATTCTAATCAAGTAGATCTATAAACACATGAAAAACTTGAAAATGGACGGCTTAAATAATGTGTTGCAAGATATTATTTGGCGGACTCAAAATATCCTTTTCTTTTTATATTCATACATCTCAATGTAAAGATAATCAATTCGAGGGTTTTCCAACATCTAAACAACTTTTTATGATGGATTTTTCAGGTGCACCTTTAACTCTACATTTAAAGGTTGCAACCTTACATAAACTCTCCTTTCAATATATGAGTTAGGATTCAGATATATGTGACACAAATAGACCGTGGGTATGGTAAATTATGCCTCTGTGGTCCACTACCGAGCATCCACCATCCATTCTCAATGACGGCAGTTAAAAATTAACCAGATCTAGGTAAATAGATTTCATTAGAAATATCGTTAATCTCCACCATTCATTGTCAAGAGTGGACTGCAGCTCTGTTCTAAATACCAGACTTACTTAAGGGAAGCTCCGAATGAACCTTATTCAGCAGTTGATAAAACCATTCATTCCAAGGCAAACCCCTATACCATATACAGGCTATATTTCCCATTACGCTTTAGGGTGTTGTAAAAAACTCTAGGCGCTCAAATTATATGCAGGTTCTCAAATCTATTTTTGAGACTTCCAGCATAGAACAGAGATAGCTAGTTTCATTGCTGTTCATTCCTCCAAAAGAAATAAAAAGATCAAAAAAAGGAAAAAGTAATTTTATGGTCATTTGTTGATGAAAATCCATGATTAAGAATGACATATTGAATTCATTTCTTATCAACAAATGAATGTAGAGAAAGTGTACTAAAATCCAATGGACTATAGAAATAAGCAAGAATCGAGAATCACAAAGAGTAGGAACTACTCTGAGACAAGACTAAGAACTACCCTGGTGTTCATGCATCAGACTGGCTGGTCCCAATATTTTGGACTTGAACATACCGTAGTCCATTGGATTATAACATATTTCCCATGAAGGAATAATTTACAGTCCACTTTTCAATCGTTCATACAGTGCCCAACCAATGAAGCCCAGGACTGTATCTCTAGCCAAGCTCTTCAAAAGGGAATTAACCCAACCATTTGGATTGGATGGCCGCTTCCCCACGAGATCTCGAAACCGAAGGCTCCCCTGATCACTCACTAAAGCATAAATCACACCCTTCATGTGGCTCTTCCCTATAACCCCAACCACACTCTTAGTGTTCTTCACTGCTTTGCTCCTCTTCAATGACCATGCAAGATACTGAAAGCAATGAACCAAAGTGAATTGCGCAATTGAAATAACAAAAGTGATAAGTATTCTACATTTTTCTGATGGTAAAATAGCTACTATGAGGTAAATTAACAAATAAGCCTTAGCCCTTTGCAAAAGGAATTGGTCCATTCTCAACAGTGAAGGGTGGAGATGAACACGACTTCCAACAAGGCCTTCATCCAGCATTATGGTTCATCTCCACCATCTATTTTGAGACAGGTGGTGGATGCCTCTCCAGTGAATGGCATTGCCACATACAGGATGCGTATGGTATTATTTCCCGTTATGAAAAACTTGAGGCAATTAATTCATTGTAGAAATTTTGCGGAAACTCCAGAAAGTGCAGAACTACCAACCACATCTCGCTCATGGATAAGAGGTTGGAGAAGGGAAGGATATAAAACACTGAGGTCCTTGTAAATTTGAGATATATTACCATCTGAATCTGAAGCCTGCAGCAGAATTGGATAATGAACCAATGTGGAACTCAGAAAACAACCAATGAATAAAAAAAGAGAGCCATTTCACTGATTTCCTGATATTTATTGCTTTCATTGAACACCCCATGCCATTAAGCAGGGCAAATGATCTGTCTGCGGATCTCTGCTCTATACATAGGCAAGTTTATGGGATGAAGACAAGGGCTATATAAGGGAATATTATGCAGCAATCTTATGGAGTTCTAATTTCATACCCTCTTCCAACAAGTTGAAGATTAGCTTCAGAAAACTATAGGCTAGTTAAGGTTAATCATTGAAATACCATGCAATTATGGTTTGGGGTTCTTTGTGAAAAAAATTGAACCATTATTTCACTTACACTAAACATTGACCCTCCCACCTCCCTCCCACACTCTCTCAACAGGCACGTCTCAAAAATTATAAAATAGGTTCAAGCAGGGTTTGAAAACTCTACGAGTCGAACAGAACTCGCCCGGTTCGACTCAAAAACCGGCACACCAGTGTCGGTTCCACTGCTATACCGGGAATCGCCCGTGTCTAGAGAGAACCGGGCGATTCCCAACAGTGAATCGACGTGTCGGGCTGGTTCTCAACAGTGACTCGCCCAAGAACACGGGCTGCACCAGTGGTTTAAAACGCGGATCGGTGACCCGGATCGGGCATCTCAAAAATCCATCCGGATCGGTGATCCGGATCGAGAATCAACTGAATCAGTAGGATTAAACCTTAAAAAAAATCAGAAAAATTTATTAAAATTCATTATAAATATTGTTTTTTAGTAATTCAATAAGAAATGAGGGTACTCCATTAAGAATTTTCATTTCTTTGCATGAATATGCGAATATTGATATGTTCTTTCCCTGCATTAACTACTATTTACCATTTAATTTACATCACACAAAAGGATAAACATAGAATTATCATGGATTAAGTATATCGTCATTTATGGACTACAATAAAGCATAAAATTCGTAACATACAATCTAAAAATAAAATGACAGACGACGTCGTTCTTCATCTTGGTCACAGTGCCATGGATTGAATTCGCGTGACAATTCATTGACTTGTTCTAAAAACGAATCATCCAAATTAGTGGGTACCTGACTATACCCAAATCTCTGAGTGTTAGAGTTTTGTTGTGGTCCTAATCCAAAATCCCCGAAGTTTGTCCATCCTTCATGCTCACCTACACTATCGTGTTCATCCCTATCCTCATGTTATTGGGACTCGATATGTGAATAATTTGGCTGGGATTGGGTGGCCACAGAATCATCATCTCTCTCATTTTCCCTTAGACCCCCTTCCCACTCTCCCTCATTAGGTGTAATATCACCGACATCTCCGACGAATTGTGGATATGTTGGCGGGCTGCTTCCTCTTTTATGCTGTTCATCACCTTCTTCAAGATCTTCCTCACCAAGGAACGCTCTCTTGTGCAACACTGGCTCCTCTTCTTCTACTACCCATTGTTTTGTTGTGCCTGTGACAAATATTGTGTCCAAATCTATCAGCCCATAGTCTTCAAGCTTCCTTCTTATTAGTTGCTCTCGAAGGTTTAAGTTGTAATGAAAATAGACTAGTTTATGCAGCTTCTCCAAAGCGAGTCGATTCCTCTTAGTAGTGTGCAACCACTGGAACGTACTCCAATTTCGCTCACAGCAAGTAGCAGAATATGTTTGGAGGACCACCTTAATTGCTATCCTCTTTAAGTGAGGTGCATCACTACCATATATCTCCCACCATTCAGCTGAATTAAAATGCAAAAAGCATTGTAAGTGCAAGAACGATTCATAAGATTAAATATATGAATGAACAAAATATTAGTTAAGGGATAACCTGGATCCATCTTAGTTCGAAAATTCCTGGCAAGTCTAGTTCCGAAGGATCCTATAGCATCTCTATACATAGCAAGCTAAAACAAATTATTGTGTTTTAGTACATTATTCCTCACAAATATAACAACTCAATCAAGTTCTTACCCTAATATTAAATAATACCTCTTGTATTGCTGCTACCTGGTTTCGATGGCTTCTCTCCAATCTAGCAATAATGTATCTGACCCCTTCCATAATCTTGTGGGGATGTTCAAGTTTCAAATAGAAAAATTTTGGGTTGAAGTAGTAACCTATAAAATATATAGATAGAGAAATGTCATTTAAAATTTCATAAAAAAATAATTTAGAATAAAACATTCTAATGATATAAATATATATTTACCTGCATAATGAATTGGACGTCCAAATTTACTGTTCCATCTTCTTTCTATAATCTCGATCACTTTACTAGCAAAACTACACTTCTCCTCAATAACTGATTTGGCCCTCTTGATACCTACATAAAGGATGCCCATGGTAGCTTTCTTGTCAGCATCCACCATCCTTAACACCGTGACCAAAGGGGCAGTGGCCTCTACAATACTGGAACATCGAGACCAGAACCTCCTATTTGAGACTATGCCGTCAACTTTTAGCCCGGTACTGGACTTCGAGAGGCGGTCATTTAACCACTCTTCACTGGTATACAATCTCTTTAATGCACCTTCAGATTCCTGAATGGATTCCACAGCCAAGTAATCTGTCGCAAAGCAGGTTATGGCAAGCCTGATTATCTCTTTTGTCTTAGACGGTTCTCTTTCAGACTGGTTATATATAAATCTTGACACCAACCTCGTTTCCTGTAGAGTCTCCTTGACAATTTTGATCTCATCGATCTCCTCTAACATAAGATCGATGTTGTGTGCAGCACACAGGGTCCATACTAGATGCTTCCTCTTATCCATCAACTTGCTGCCCGCAGAAACACATGCACGCGCAATGTCCGTAATAAACTGGACTACATGCTTATCTCCCACCTCCTCCACTATCTGATCATATAGTCGTACAAAGAAGTTTGCATCCTTCTTCATCCCTGATACGTCTTTGCTAGACAAAAAAGCTGTACTTTTTGGGAAATAGGCCACGAAGTTTAAAAACTCCTTTTTGCTAACTTTATTCAACCAACCATCACTCATGAGAGTAATGTCTGCTCTTGGCCAACTGTTTATATTCTTCAATCCACTTTCTAACCTCCTCCACCTCTTCATCCAATATTGGCCCACTGAGCTCATATGTCGTCGGGGGTTTTACCCCGAGCCCGGCTCTCTGGATTGTGTGGACCATAAGTGGAAAATATGGGCTATTGACTGCATCAAAGGGGATCCCTTAATCGTAGAACCATTTACCAACATATCTGCCTAACTGTTTCTCGTACCTTTCACCATGCCTTTGAAGGTCATCTGCTCTGACTTAAACTTTGAGAGAAATGGGTCTATACGACCATAACCTGCAATACTGGCACTACTAGATAAGCTAGAAACAATTTCTTCAACATCTGATTCTTCTTGATACATATTGCCACCAACCCCTCCATATATATTTGAGTTGAGCCCGCCATACATGCTCGAGCTGGGCCCGCCATGCATGTCTGAGCTAGGCCCACCATGCATGCCCATGTCATAACCACCAGGCATTCTAAACCCGCGTTCTTTCTGGTATGTTTCCTGTAAACTCATTCTTGTGGCCATCTCCAAGTCATTATTATATTGCTCTTCTGGATCATTCCCACTTGATGGCGTATATAAACTAGCTATCTCCTCATCCATCATCTGCTTTGCAATTTTTTTACCTTTGGTAGCTTTGAGAAATGCCGTCATCTGCTTTCTTACATTATTAGGGACATTATTGCACGCAGAAACATCTCCCTTAACCCCTGCCAAGCGTTGCTTGGACCTATGTACCCCACTACTTATCACTCTTTGACAGTAATTACAAATAATTTTGTCTTTTTTGTTGGGATCAAGTCCGACCTCATGTTGCCATGCAGGGTCTTCAGCAGATCTTGTCATGGTTCAACTGTTTTAATATGTAAAAGATTAAAAATTAACCTGACAATTCAACATGAAAATTAATCACCATGTGTAGTGATAATATGTAGGGGTAATTCATGAAGTTATATTTGTTGTTAATGCAAATATTTTAGTTACTACTGGGAAAAATAATATATTTATGCAACATTAGAGATAAAAATAGCCTATATCAGCCACTACATATAGAACAAAAAATTTACATTGATATAGTATCAATAAAAAATATATTTGCAATGGTATCGTAATTCACAATGCCAATACATATGGACTTATCACAAATCTTCATTTCGACAAACATGAATTAGTTTCTACTGAGAAAAAAAAAATATTTATGCAACATTATAGACAAAAAAAAGTCTGTATCAGTCACACTTAGAATCAAGAAAAAAATTACAATAATATACTCATCCATAATGCCACTAGACGTATATTTGACACAAAAGACATTTACAATGATACAGTTATTCACAATGTCACAAATAAAATTTACAATGATATAGTGAGCACAATCCCAACTCAATTGAAATGATCATAAATAGTCGTACATCTTAATTACAAATATGGAAGATAATATAATAAAAAAATACAAGCTCCAAACATGGCTACAACTCAATTATCAAGAACATACATTTTTTGCATTAAAATTTAATAATAAAATTGAAAAATGCAAGATAATATAATTATCATACATGCCACGATATTTTTACAATGATATTCACTTTAATTCCTCATGATAATACAGTTTAACAACATGTACTTTTTGCATTAAAAATTTTAAAAATTAAAAATACATTTTTAATGCAAAACTGCATTAAAAATATAATACAGTTTAACAACATGTATTTGTTAATGTCTTTTTTTGCATTAACAACAAATTAAAAAATATAGGTTTGCATTAAAAATATAATAACATGTATTTTTTTGCATAAATAATCTATCAACATGCAATTTTTTCAACTAAAAATTTGACAATAAAAATTCAAAATATTGTTTAATTCCTCATGATAATAAAAAACTGATCACAATTTTTCGAAAAATCAAGATTTTTCATAAAAATTGATCATTAATTAAAAAAAAAAAAACGCAA